AAAGAACGAACATTCTGTGGTTTGCCTTGATATCTGTCTGGTGTGTGTGTGTGTGTGTGTGTGTGTGTGTGTGTGTGTGTGTGAAGGGAGCCAGCCCCTAACAAATCATCACAGGTCCAGTAGGCACAACTGTACAGCTATAAAAATTATAATCAAGTCGTAGAGAATAAGAGAGATAGGAGAGAGAGAGTAAAATAAAGGAGTCAGCCACATGTCATGGTAGCATGTTTCCTCAGCCTCTCTTGATGGTGCACATGGAGGTGTGGAAGGAGGAGCGCGAGGAAGAGGAAGGAGGGAAGGAGGGAGAGGGGAAAGAAGACTGGAGGAGGGAGCATCTTTATTGTTTGGGGCTTTTATAGGTAGCTGTTAGTCATGCATATTCAGGAGTTACATACATCACAAGGTGGGTGGTCCTCACAGTAAAGTCCCTGAACTCACAGGTGAGGAAACCCAATACCTGCATTGGGGGAAGGTATGAGGGGGGAGATGGGTACATAGGTCGGAGGAGATAATCAAAGAATGTCTGCTTCTACAGAGAGACAGAATCAACCATGCGCTCTGTGGGATACATTTAAATCAGAATACTGTGCTTGGACTTTATCTCTAATTTAGCTTTCCCGATTCCCTGTTATAAGTCAGGGAATATAGCCCTGGTCCTATTTCTCTCAGTGTTAGTTTCCCACATGTGTGTGTGTCCCTGTGTGTTCTGCTAGTTGTATGACCCTGACATAATTAGCTTTAAGATCCATCCTTTACTGCATGTATGCCCTCAACTGACTGACTGACTACAAAGTACGTGAGATCACGTCTCACCAGGCTTGCCTCTGAGGAGCCTTCTGGCTGTACATCTTCGAGGACACATTTGTTTGTTCTTTTGGCCATCCGTGGGACTCTCCATATTCTTTGCCAGCGCCGTCGTTCAAATACACCAGGTCTTCTTCCTTAGATCCAAGCGAGATGAAATCAAACGATATTACGTTATAAGGTGACACTAATTGCGTGACATCCGTGGCACTGCAAACAGGCACATGGCACACATCACACGGCATTCCATAAAACCAAAACCAAACACTGCCATCGAGTTGATCCTGACTCCCGGTGACCTCATCAGGAAAGGCAGCACTGGCCCTGTGGGTTTACAAGATGGTAACTCTTGTTTTTAATCATTTTATTGGGAGCTCGTACAACTCTTATCACAATCTATCCATCCATCCGTTGTGTCAAGCACACTTGTACATTTGTTGCCCTCATCATTCTCAAGACATTTGCTTTCTGCTTGAGCCCTTGGTATCAGCTCCTCATTTTTTACCCCCCTTCCCCGCTCCCCCTTCCCTCATGAACCTTTGATAATTTACAAATTACTATTATTGTCATATATTATTTCACCCTTCAGCTCCAATGGTAACTCTTTACAGGTGTAGAAACCCTCCTCTCAGAGGAGTTGCTGGTGATTCCAAACTGCTGACCTTGCAGATTGTCACCACTACACCGCAGGGCTCCTGCATGATACGTTACAAATATTACATGACATTACATCACATATATTACATTACATACATTACATCACAACCACAGGTGTTTGAGTTAGGATTCCAACATATTTGGGGGGTGGGGGGAATACAGCTTAATCCATCTGTGAAGGGCTTGCACCCTGGTCCCTGGACCCTGCTTGTATCCAAGTCCCAGTGCTGCCGTACACTAGCTAGTGGGCTTTGGGTGAGTCCTTTCACCTCTCTGTGCCTCAGTTGCTCACCTGTAAATCAGGGGGGATGATCAGGCCTACCTGAAAGGATGAGTGTGTGGATCCAATAAGCGGAATGTCGCCTGACACGCAGCAAGCGGCCCGGTGTCAGGCGCAAGTTGAGATGTTGTTAGCGTTGTGACCTCTCCCTCTCCCTTTATCGTAGAACTGACAGACGAAGAATACGATTGTGCTGCTGAAGTGTGAGCACCTGTCCTGTTGGCCTACGAGGTGATAGTGGGATGGGTGGGGAAGAGGATCCTGGGACTGGGGGCAGGGTGAGGTTCCCAGCCAGGACTCCCTAGGAGACCTCTGCCCTCCTGGTTTCCTCTTCCTTTATCTGTGAGATTTTCAATCTTGTTGGAAGCCCCCAGGGGCTGCTTTTCCTTGCCTCTTGACGCTGCCAACACCCAGCTCATCAATACCCAGAACTCACTTAGACAAGGCGACTCTGCTGTCATTGTCCAGTGCCATCGAGGCGGCTCTGACTCATCGCGACCCGGTGCACAACAGAACCAAACAGGGCCTGGTCCTGAGCCATGCTCCCAGCGGTTAGCATTTGAGCCCATTGTTGCAGCCACTGTGTCAATCCGTCTAGTTGAGGGTCTTCTTTGGTTACTTGACCAAGCACGATGCCCTTCTCCAGGGACTGGTCTCCCCTGACCCCATGTCCAAAGTCATCTCCAGCTCTTTAAAATCCTTGGGCACCAAGCAAAAGAAATTCCTTCAAGTAGGTGAAGGTAGTGGGGGAGTGGAATGTGATGGAAGCATCCAGGAAGATGACGGGGAATTCCAGGGTGGCATGCGCGTTTGTTGTGGCACAAACACAGGCCCAAACTTAGTGGTTTGAAACAACAACCATGTCTTTGGCTTACAATTCTGCCAGTCATGTGGTTGGCAGGCGAACCAACACTGAACCAAGGTGCCTGGAATTCATAGTTCCCTCTCTCTCTGCAGATGAACTCCTTGTGCTTCTCGGTCTCCAGGGCACAGAGCCCCCATTCGAGGGAAATGACCCGATTTATCTCGGATCCCATTGCCTTGTAAGGAAGCTCCTGGAGAAGGCACCCAGTTAGCTTACTTGGGCCATGACCCATGTGCCCTCGTTTGATTCAATCCCAGTGGCCAGCATTGAGGCAGGGCTGAGCTGTGTAACCACCCCTGGTTCCTGAGACTGCATATAAAGGCATCTGATTGGCTTACTTGAGTCAGGTGCCCACCTTGGCCCAATCACTGTGGCTGTAGGAGGGGCTGGGGCAGGGATGGGTTCTTTAATCAGAGCTCCTTGGGCTCAATCTTGTCTGTGGGGTGAGGGTGGGGAGGAGGGGGTCTGTAAGGGAGGACGAAGGTGGGGGAGGGAGAAGGGTAAAGGGAAGATGGGGGGGGGGGGCGAGGGCCAGGGAGCAGCCAGTGTTCAGGAAACAGAGGAATAAAAATATTGCCTCGTATCGGATTAAAATAGAAAAATGCCTGGG